TGTGTGTGTGTGTGTGTGTGTGTGTGTGTGTGTGTATGTGTTTACCTCCAGCAGGAGCTTGAGCGTGTGGTCGTCTTTAATCCTCCCCTCGCAGCGCGCGGCGGCTGCCAGGTTGGTGAACCACACACAGGGGATCCAGTATTTGTTGTACGGCGAGTGGAGGCCCTCAAACTTCTTCCGCTCCTCTCTGGTCATGAATCCTGCACAAATGTTCTGCCTGTTAAAAGGAAGTTTTTCCTTGCCTGTGTCGCCTAGTGCTTGCTCATGGTGGGAATTGTTGGGTTTCTGTAATCAACTTCAGAGTAGGGTCTGACCTGCTCTGTTTGGAAAGCGCTGTGAGACAACTGTTGTTGTGATGTGGCGCTATAGAAATAAAATTGAATTGAAATTTAATTGAAATGTGAATCCTGAGCTCAATTTAACTCCCAAAAACATTTTTAAAAAAGAGAAAAATACGGGAAAGAAGTTAATGTGCTCCTCATCTTAAAGGGAGAGCTACTTCCTGTTAGCTTCACAATGCAGATTAAACTTTGTTTCCACTAACAGCTTTGTTTCAGAAAGCTTTGAGAGGAGGGTTTGATACACCAGTGTCTGCGGGCCTCGTCTTTATCTCCTGATCGTTTACTTTCTGCCTTCTGGTGAGGAACGAAGGAGCGAGCCCCGGCAGCCCAGGGCGGCTTAAAACCCCTAAAGGCCTAATGTCACAAACCGTTTGACTCAATCAACCAGCCGAGATAGCGTTTGCATTCTCCCGATGCCGGTTAGTGCAACTCGGTATGGGCATAGGAACCTTTAACAAGTAAATAAACAAGTAAAAAAAGGGTGAATAAATAAAACTTTTTTTTCACTGTTATTTTACTGTGTTCTTGTGTTACCAAATTGGCCCCAAATTGAGTAAAATTAATAATCTCGATATTATTTACCATCGACTTAAAAACAGACATAAAACATTTGTTTGTGTACAGCCAGATAAATTCAGGCTTTAAGGGGTTAAAGGCTCTGATCAAGTCCGTCTGGCTGCAGACTGCAGGAAGCCACAAATGGATATCCAACTCCACCCACATCCAAGTCGGCCATTTTGATTAGGTCACCAATAGGAAGATCCCAGGCAAGAAATTCCTAATTGCTTCATGGCAATATAGACATTAATTTAAAAATAGTTAAATGAATCTTGCAAACACTGAATTAAACTCTATACATAATATTATGTTAAAATAGTGGATGTTAAATAGGTTTGTACAAAAAATATTTATTTCTCACAATTATGAAGGCTGGAGGGTTAGGGTTAGGGTCAGGATTAGGGTTAGGGTAAGGATCAGGGTCAGGGTTAGGGTTAGGGTTAGGGTAAGGGTTCAGGTTTGGGTTACGGTCAGGGTTAGGTTTAGGGTCATGGTTTGGGTTAGGTTTAGGGTTTGGGTTAGGGTTAGGGTCAGGGTCAGGGTTAGAGTCAGGTTTAGGGTTGGGGTTAGGGTCAGGGTTAGTGTTAGGGTTAGGGTCAGGTTTAGGTTTAGGGTCAGGGTTAGGTTAGGACATCGCTTGTCTTCCGATATCATATAAACAGGAAAGTTTCGTTTCCACCTCAGACAGCTGCTAGTCACACGAGCTAATCAAAATGGCCGACTTGGATGTGGGAGGAGTTGGACATCCTCACCCGCCTCCACCACGTGGTCCATGGTGGGGAAGCGCTTGAAGACGGCGGTGCTGACGGAGCGCAGGATGAGCAGCGCCGACAGGCTAGCGTAGCGCATTAGCGTGCGCCGTAGCAACCGGCCGCGCTCGTCGTTGCCATGGAGACCGCCGGACAAAACACACATGAGCCGGTCGGGCAGCGGGATGCTGGTGTACTGACTCCACCAGCGGTTCACCACCAGGGTCACATAGAAACCTGCAAACAGCAGCGGGGGGAGGGTTAGGGTTAGGGTTAGGGTCAGGGTTAGGGTTAGGGTCAGGGTTATGGTTAGGGTTAAGGTTAGGTTTAGGGTTAGGGTTATGGTTAGAATTAGGGGTCAGGTTTTGTGTTAGGGTTAGGGTTAGAATTAAGGTTAGGGTGGAGGGTCAGGATTAAGGTCAGGGTTAGGGTTAGGTTTAGGGTTAAAATAAGGGTCAGAATTAGGGTCAGGGTTAGGGTTAGGGTCAGGGTTAGAGTTAGGGTTAGGGTTAGGGTTGTGGTTAGAATTAGGGTCAGGATTAAGGTCAGGGTTAGGGTTAGGTTTAGGGTTAAAATAAGGGTCAGAATTAGGGTCAGGGTTAGGGTTAGGGTCAGGGTTAGAGTTAGGGTTAGGGTCAGGTTTAGGGTCAGGTTTAGGGTTAGGGTTAGGGTTAGGGTTAGGACATAATTTGTCACACCAGTAAAGTGAAGCAGCAGAAAAAAAAGAGAGAAGGAATCCAACTAGAAAAAGCTGAACCAAAAGTAAGACTGTAGTTAAACAATCTTTATGGAACAAGTGGCCGACTCTTTTGAGGTTCTATTTTGAATTCTGTCATCCATGCTATTGCTAATCAATCTTAAGTTCAAAACCATCTATTATTATTTACAAAATCTGTAGAAGTCAAACAATCAGGATTTTATCAACTAAAGATTGATGCAAAGTCAGTATTTTTTCATCACTCGTTATGGTAAAAAGTATTCATTAAAATCTTTTAAAGTGTCTTTAAGTGGGAGATTTCAGATGGTCTTTGGACATAAACTGCTTCTTCACTATTTCCAAGTCAAGTTCTTTATACTGGATCATTTCTAGAGGAATAGATCTTCTTCTTTGGCTATTTTTAAAAGTTGTGTCTGTGAGCAGACAACTGCACAAATAACCAGTTTTAAAATGTTTCTTTGGAACTCTGTTACAAAGACACACACTTTGTTTCCACTTTAGTGCCATCCACAAAAAAAAAGATAACACTAAACCAATGTGAATCCCAAAGGGCTATTATCTGGACACATATCTAAGC